TACACTGTCTCACGGACTGTCACTATTATTTTGTGCACTATTAAACCCCTGTGTGTTCCCTTTTACCACGCCTCCTGTTTTCTCCAGCTCTTACCGCATCTCATAGGGTCTTCTACAAGATCTGACACGGATTTCAGTCCGTGTTTGTGACAATATCTGTCTGTAAAACCACAAAGATTGTTACTGTAACTAAATATATTCAGTTAGACACCTGTAATTTCAAATGTCTCAGAAATCTCTTATTTTACATTTTTTTACACAAGCAATTCATGGTTAATTCTAGCTTGCAAGAAAAACAATCAAGAACATGACTGTCATTTCTAAATGTATTAGACACTTATTGGAATATGAACAGTAATTTAAAGCTACAGTATTTTGAAGATGGTGTCTGCCTTCAGAAACTAAAACGAACGCTTACTCGAAATATAAAAAACGAATGGAAATAAAATGAATTCCCTCATACATCGTGTTAATTATGAATTACTGTTCTGATTTTTTTATACAAGAGAATAAAAATAGCAATTTGGAAGTAGGAAAAATACTAAATAACATTTTTTTTCCTTATTGATCACTACAAATGTTTTCTGAAACAGGGTACTTCCTGATGGGAAAACCATGAATTTCTGGTTATTTGTGCTGATGAAGAATATGTTTGAATGTAAGAATAGACATTTGAATAACAAATATTATCTCCTATTGTCCTAAATCCACATCACTAAATCCCTATCTGTAGCTTATTATAATATAATGTTCATTTCAACTTAATTTTGTTCCTTCTCTCTTTGCTCATGTGATTTTTCTCCAGGTTATATGTTTTTTCCCAGGCCAAGTTTATTAGTGATGCTTAATTGTTTCTGTGTGCTTGTGTGCGCATTGTGATGCTGTGTGGGCAGCCGGCAATAGGGGCACAAGTCCTAGGCAGGGCCACAAGCACAGACACACCCCACACACAAGGATTAATGTGAAAATCAAAAAAGTAATTCAAAATCCTCATGCTCACCAATGAGGCTCTGTATGACTATTGTCCTACTCGCCACCTTGCAACCTTTGTTCATCTAATTCTAGTCTCCTGTCTGTCTCCCAAGCCTGCTTATGTTTTATGTGTGACAATGCCTTCTCCTGCTCTGGGATTCTATACCTACAGATATCAGAGAGTCATCTTTCCTGAGCTCTTTCAAATCCAGACTTAAAACGTTTATTTAGTTATTTAACTGGTTCTGTGAGTAAACTGCTTTCCTACTGTATGCCAAACCCTTACTTATGTTACTTATGTAATTTTGCTGTCTCCTCTTATTTTGTGTTTTTTTTTTCTGTAAAGCACTTTGTGAAGCCTCTTTTAATGGTACTTTATAAATTAATTATTATGATACTGTTTTATTAAAGATTGTTTAAAGTTGTCATGTCCTGTGGACAAAAAGACGATGCGTCCAGCAAGATGCATCCGCAGAACGTTGGGGAAAAATAAACAGGTCATACTGGGAAAACCTAGCAGTAGAGATGCCCTTCAGTTAGAGCTATGCTTATAGCTAGCCTTTCACTATAGCAACATACAGCTCTCCTGGCAGCCTAGCCTGGAAAATAAGCCACAGTTGCTATAGCAGGACAAATCTGTTTTCCAGCCTCATGCTGGAAAATGTAATCAGCCTTCAGCCAGGATATAGATTCGGCCTGGCTGTAGCAATCTGGCATTTTCCTTGTACCTTTCTCCTGGTCATCAACATCTCCTTACCATCTTGGTGTTAAATTTATCCAGCGATTGCTGGTGTCCTGTCAAGTAGCCCATTATCTGCATGCCACCATCTTGGGCAGGGGGAAGCTTTGAAAAAGAAAGGTACAAACCACATGAAATGCCACACCTCAAAACACATCCCCATGCGGCATCACAATGTGTATCCCATTTAGGGTGTAGTCACACCTTGTGCCTAATGTTTCTGAGACAGGAACCTGGTTCGCATCACCCTTTACTAACAATAAGCAGCTTTCTGACAATTAATGAGTTTTGTTTTCCTTTTTACATAGATTTTTCTTATGCCCATTAATTTCAGTGTAACATTAAGAATAGAATGTGCTAATCATTATTACAAAAACATACAAAATGTTAACCTATTAATTTTTCAGACAGCTGAACAACCAGAGATTACCGGTTAAGTTTGTTGAGGAAAAAAATAGCCTGGTAAGAATCATACTTGAACAAATAAACCATAAAGATTATTTTTAAAGAGACACAACAGGCTGCTTTGGACAAGGGAAACTATTTTGGAACGTTTAAGCAGACTTTGCTTAGTCAGTCGTCAGCCCAGCGGCCGCAGTCCCTGCTATTCACAGGGAAGGGCTGTGATGTCACCGCGCTGGTAAGCCGGCTCGCCCATCCTCTAATGCCAGCCATATGTGTTACAATATGAAAGTTGCTAAATTCCTGCCCCTTATGGAAAGGGCGGTTTAGCGCAACCAATAAATTGATTGAAATGTGTTTGGAAGGTGGAAGGAAAACTGTAGTGGAAGAAACCCTCTTAAACACTGAAGGCACCCAGTCCAGAGTCTAACTCAGGTCCCTGACACGGCAGTGATTATTTTTCAGTCACATTAGGCCTAAAATACTTAAACCAGAATGATTCAGGTTCCAAAAAATATGCACTCCCCTGTTCTCTAATGATGTAGTTTAATAAAAAAAATATATTAATTAATAAAATTCTGCATGAGAGTGATACAATATATTAGGCTCAATGAATAATCAGTGAACTTTAAATGGTTATCATTTAAATGCTATAAACGAGCTAGATAGCACCAACACTTAACATCTGAGACAGGTTTAAATGATAGCTCAGTATATTTTCACACCTCTTACACTAGTAAGGAGTCACAAATTATTTTATTTCTGGGGGAAAAGATGCTTTATTGCAAAATATACTTGTGTGCTCGGCAATGTTAGGAGTAATCTCATTAGCGGAAAGTGGATTTCAGAAATGCTTTTTAAATTCAAAGATTAGTGGAGCGGAATGTTTTCCAAAGACAACCAACCCTTATCAGAGGATATGTGGTGAATAACATTGTCAAAAACAGAACCCATATCAGTCACGGTAAATTTAGTTTTGGCGCCCTATATTCGCTTTGAGATTTCCAAAATTAAGGATGACACATTTCTGATGTCACCGATATATTCAGTCTAGCTACCCAAACAACGTACTGTACAGTAGGAGGGGAGGCTTCTGATTATCTTCGCTGCTCTTTTCTGTAACCTACCATAGAAACACGCTTAATATTGCAAAATACTCATCTATATTTGAATGTTGTTAAAATGTATTTGATTTTGGTTTATCCGCTCTGGCATTAGAATTGGTAAAAAGCAAGAACTTTCCCTGTATTTCCCTCAAGCAGGTTTAGAGTTTCCTGAGCAAGGCGATTGCACTGAACGTCATTTCCTTGGTAGGCAAGTCAGCGCAGGTCTGGTGAGAACAGCAGCTGTTGGTGTCTGTCGAGTTTACTATATATGGGCAAAGACAGTCAATCTGAGTGCAGGCTTCCGTGTTTGTGAGAAGCTAGACCAGCCGGTAGCGGGGACGCAAGGAACAGGGAGGCTTGTTCTTCATTCATTTGGTGGAATTTATAAAAGTCTGCGAGAATGTCATACGAATTAAGTAAGTCACATTTGTTTGTCTTTCTCTTGTTCAGATGCATGCGATTTGCCGTCTCCTTGAGGCTCGATCCCTTCGATATTTGTGTAGTTTGAGTACCCCAGCCACCATCTATAGACTGTAGTACAGTACGGTCGGTATATGCAAGAAACAGAAATGGGAGACAACCTCGCCCATTGCTGCCTCATTCTTACTCTAGGTGTCGTTTTTAGGTTGCAGGTTTTCAAAGCTTATATTTCACTGGGTTGTTTTTGTATAAATTGTCTCGGTATAGATACAACTATTGAGTCTTTTCCGTGGTTTGATTTTTATTTTCTCATGTGGAGATCGTTTCGGATCCCTATCGCAAACCTGTTAGTTTCAAAGCTGACTGAAAGCCAGCTCTTTCTAGTCAATGCGGAAATGTATAAAGCATTATGACACGCATCAAGATGCGCGTCGAGAAGGTTTCGACGTGGTAATATTTTTAATACTTGACGGAACAGCAATAAGAAACAAATTATAAATAAGTCGAATTTGCATTCCTTACGTTGTGTATCAAGGGAATGTGTCCTATTTTACTAACCGGCCGTAAAGAATTCTAAACCATTGCGAAATAAAAATTAAAATTCGTCATTGAATGTATTAAATTGTCATTAACTGCAAAATAACCTAGTTAGTTGTGTGTCTTTGGTTAAAGATTTGTACCCCAGGTTCGTTGTTTGTAAATATGCAATGTTTTTAGAGTATTTAAAAAAAACATTTGGTTGTTATATAGGTTTCTTGGTAACGTGGTGGGGTTTGTTGGGGGTTCACACAATTCCACGTATTTATTTTTTACTCTTGAAAACATTTATGTTTTACAGGGATGTACTACTATCTGAGCCATTCGGCGTACACATTTGTTCTGTTTGTATGAATATTGTTGACCTCTCAGTCCTCTTAATCGCCCGTTCATTTTTACAGAGAAAGTGTTTGCCAGCCTCCCTCAGGTGGAAAGAGGCGTTTCAAAGATCCTTGGAGGTGATCCCAAGGGAAAAAACTTCATCTACACCAATGGAAAGAGCGTCACCATCAGAAATATTGATGTAAGATTTTATGCAGTACATCACTGCTTTTTTCCATAAACCGAGAGAATATCATGCACTTTTCATATGGCCGTCCCTGGCCAAGAATAGCTGCTATTCTGTTTTTCCAGCCATTATTACAGTGCTGGCTTTTCTTGTGTGGTATTATAGTGACCTGATTAGGATATTGTTGCACCCAACCGAATAAAAGCTGCTTATTACTTTTTTAATGAGCATGAAGTTACAGCTATCAGTATGTAAATATTGTTTGGTTGCCAGGATCAGGACATAGTTTTTGATTGTTAATCTGTTCTGTAGTTACCTGATGGTTTGTGAAATCTGTTCTTATTTTTAGAATCCTGCTATTGCAGACATCTACACTGAACATGCTCATCAAGTGACTGTTGCAAAATATGCACCTAGTGGATTTTACATTGCATCTGGAGGTATTTTTATTCTATATTAATCCTACAACGTCTTCTAATTGTATGTTACTGGTATATTCCTAGTGTCTTTTTTTTCATTTATGATACTACGTGTACATTCTAATGAAAACATTCTACTTTTTATCAGTTTGCAAAATTATTTTCAAAATACAAAGCTATAATGGAGTCCAACACTGGAGACATTTAATTGTGTGGTTTACCACATTTCTAAATCAATTAAAATAAAGTAAACATTAGAAAAAGAAAGTGGATTTTAAATACAAATACATTTAACCACTTTATTTTATGATGAATCGGGTTTTATTGTATTTTGCCAAAAATGCAGTTGTTGTAACCTTGGAGACTACTTGGCTATGATGCAGTAAAATACCATTTTGTGATTTCACACAAAGCTGGTCTTGGATTACTTCCTTCATAGTTAAATTTGTATGATAAAGTAACTATTATAAATGGAGGACATGCTGAAGTGCTTTTGCAAACAGTTTGCAAAGTGTGTCTGTTGTTGAGTTCCCCAATTTTGCTC